ATCTTTTTTAGTAATCTTAAGAAGATTTATGAAAATATGCATTAACACCTAATCAGGTATACAATGTTGACAAAACAGCACTAACAACTGTGCAAGATATAGGAAAAATAATAGCCAAAAAACGTACAGAAACAAGTAGGCCATATAGTTTTAAATGAAACTGTATGGTCTACTATATAACACTTTGGTAACCATATAGAATGCACTAAACGTTATAGGTAATTCGATTCCGTAATTTTTAGTGTTCCCTAGGGATTTTTATAAGATTATGTCTATAAGGGAGCACCTTTAGGCTTCCAGGTGTGTGCTGTACCATCTGGATGGATGACAGGAAAATTATTTTAACAGTGGATGATACATTTCGTCAAACATACTACTCCTACAAAGAAATGTCCCATTTTACTAATCATGGACAACCATGAGAGCCATGTTTCTTTTCTTCTTCTCGTGCCACTCCTAGCGGAGATTGGAAATCATCATGGCCACTGCGACTTTGTTAGCAGCGCGCCTAAAAAGTTCAATCGAACTACACCCGAACCATTCACGTAGATTCCGAAGCCACGATATTTTTTTTCTTCTCACACTTCTTTTGCCCTTAATTTTGCCCTACATGATGTTTCTTAAAAGTTCGTACTTTTCACCTCTCAGAATATGCCCCAAGTATTCCATCTTTCTAGTTTTATCTCATTTAGAACTTCGCATCTTTTGTCTAAAGTTTGGAGTACTTGCGTGTTAGTGACGCGGTCCATACATGATATTCTGAGAATGCGCCTATAGCACCACATCTCGAAAGCTTCAATGTTTTTTATGGTCAACTGTTTTAGTGTCCAAGCCTCAACTCCATATAACAGGGTAGAAAAAACATAACACCGCAGCATTCGTATTCGTAACTTTATATTGATATCACGATTGCAAAAGAGTTTGCGCATTCTATTAAAGACTGATCTAGCGATTTCTATTCTACATCTAATCTCTTTTGTTTGATCAGTATCGTCTGTGATCCAAGCACCTAGATATTTATAACAGGGCACACGCTCAATCGTTGTATTGTCTATTACAAGATTAGCTCTGATGTTCTTTGATTTCGTGATTACCATAAATTTAGTTTTTTTCAAATTAATTTTCAAGCCGTAACTGTTATAGTATATATTGAGACTTTGAACGAGATATTGTAGTTCTACTAGCGTTCCCGTCAGGAGAACTGTATCGTCAGCATACCTTATATTGTTGATTGTCTCACCATTTATTATCAGACCAAGATCTTCTTCCTCGAGTGCTTGTTCACAGATAGCTTCACTATACAGATTAAATAAAAGTGGCGATAGATTGCATATAATTCGAATATCTCGGCTGTCTATATTTTTCTTTATTAGAACTTGTCTTAGTGGTTCATGTTGTACTTTGTCAAAGGCCTTTTCGAAATCAATAAAGCAGGCGTAAATTTCTTGGTTTATGTCTAAGCATCTCTGTGAGAGAACGTTCATTGCAAACAGAGCCTCCCTTGTACCCAGCCCTTTTCTGAATCCCATCTGAGTGTTACTGATGTCTACGTCTAATTTCCTATAGATCCTATTATGGATTATTTTTAAGAACAGTTTTAGAGCATGACTCATCAAAGCTATCGTACGATATTCGTTGCATTCCTTTGTATTTGCCTTTTTTGGCAGTAGTATAAAGGTCGAACGGAGCCATTCCCTAGGTATTATTCAAGTTCTATATTTTGTGTTAAATAGATATAGGAGTGTTTTAATAGATTCATCGTCCATAAGTTTGAGCAGTTCTACGGGAATTTCATCAGGACCGGTTGCCTTACCACTTTTTGCTTGTTTGATTGCATATTCTATTTCTTCTCTGATTATATCAGGCCCTGTATCATCTGTATATTCGTTTGAGATTTCTTGTCTATCTTTGTCATCAAACAGTTGTGATATGTATTCTGTCCATCGGTTCATTTTTTGTTGTAAATCTGTTATAATTATACCATCTATATCTTTGATCTGTCCTGTCTGTGTTGTTCTTCTCCTTCCTGTCATTTCTTTAATCTTTTTATGTACATTAAAAAAGTCATATTTTCGCTCCAATTTTTCCAACTCCTGGCATTGCTCACTTAGCCATCTTTCTCTAGCTTCTCTTATTTTCTTTTTTATCAGTTTATCTGTTTCTTTGTATCTTATCGGATTAGTTGTTTTGTGTACCCTTCTTTTAAGCATCAACTGTAGTATTTCCTCATTCATCCATTCTTTATGTTTCCTTTCTTTCGGTGTTAAATTTTCTCTCCCTGTCAACATTACGGCATGTTTAATATTCTCACATTTTTGGTCTATGTTATCAGTATTTCTATTCAGTTTCTCTATATTTTGTAAATTTTCTTTAATGTTCACTATTGTTTTCTCTTTTATATGTTGTTCATTCAGTCTTCTCACGTCAATTTGTTTCTGTATGTGTTTTTTAATGATCTTTAGTTTTATTCTTAACGTGACTACTACAGGATTGTGATCCGAGCCTATATCTGCTCCTGGGTAGGTTTTAGCTGAGAGTATAGAGTTGCGGAATCTTTGACTAACAAGGACAAAGTCAATTTGGTTTCTGACTACTCTACCTTTGATGTCACTCGGAGATTTCCATGTGTACAGTCGTCTGTTAGGTAACTTGAAAAGAGTGTTAGCAACTACTAACTCCTCCGCTTGACAAAATTGTACCATACGGTCTCCTCGCTCGTTTCGTTCTCCTAATCCATAGTTACCCACATAACCGTCCACACATCCATGTCCAATTTTGGCATTAAAATCGCCCATTACTACTGTAGTATGATGTTTCTTCATTGATTTTAGAATTTGTTCCAGATCGTAATAGAAACTTTCAATTTCATCATCATCTTTATCAGCCGTAGGAGCATACACTTGTATAATATTTATAATTTGTTTATTTGACTGAAGTTGAAGTGTCATTATTCTATCAGAGAAGGGAGTAAAGCTTGTTACACAGTTACTGATTTTCTTTGATACCAAGACAGCGACACCGTAACGATGAGTTGAACTGATGGTGCCTGAATAATAAAGTGTTCCACTGTTATTCGTGCATTTTCCTGATCCTGGCCACTGTACATCACTTATACCTAGGACATCAATTTTAAGGTTTTTCATTTCAAGGGCTACATTATTTAATTTACCTGCTGCAAAGAGGCTTCTTACATTCCACGTCGCTATTCTAAATATCTTAAGGTGATTGATATTACTTACACAGGGATTTCGCTGGTTCACGACCTGAGAGGCCCTATGGTCTGTCTGTGGTTTTCCTCTCCTGCCGGATCTTGGGTTCCGAGGTACATGATTAGTAACATGAGTGATTGATGTGACATTTGCCATCATGATTATACTAGGGAATCTTAAAGATCATTAATACAGTGGTTTCCCGTTGCCTTCTGTATCCTTACGCCGTTGACCACTCCTTGATTCATCCGCCTTCGAGACAGATTTCTCTATCTCAGGACAAAAGAGTGCCCTGCCACTTACCATCTCATCCGCCCGAAGCCGTTGGTAGGTAAGTGGGGGATTGCTTATACCGGCAATCGCTCGGTGGAATTGTCGCCATATCTGGCTACCCTCACTTAGTTTAGCCTGCAGACCAATGCAGTTGCCCGGGGTGTGGCACGTGGAGCCATAAGTGAGTTAGTTGTCTTATGAGGACCAGTTATCAAGAACCATCTCCCGTCTATGACGCTCGATGTGGTCGTTCAGATAAAAGGTACTACCTCTATAACACAACTCTACACCCTATGTTTCTTTAGCATCTATTAAATTTGCAAAAGAAAATAATATACTTTTGTTGACTTTGCCGCCACTTACTAGTCATCTCCTTCAGCCACTAGATAAAGCTGTATTTGGTCCTCTGGAGAAATATTACTCACATAATTGTTAAAATTGGTTATTGAAAAATCCTGGAAAAAGGAAAACAATTTACGACATAGCAGAGATTTTGAGCGACGGTAATCCACTTGCTTTCTGTCCAAATATGTGGTATCAGCGTTTAAAGCTACTATTCAATAATAACATTTTTAACCATAACAGACATGCCAAACATACATCAAGAAGAACAACAACCAAATACTTCAAATGTTAGCGATATACCACAAATGGACATTCAGTTCCCTTCAACATCAACTTGTCCAGATAAAATACCAGAAACAAATTAGAAACATCCATCGGAAATAACACCTGAAAAGAAAACTAGTTCTTATGAAGTGATGTAAACTTCCAAGGACTCACACGAAAATCGATTTATTTTCCCTGTATTACTGCAACCATACTCTCAAGTTACGGCTAAGAATATCAAGGCAAAATAGAATAAAGAGAGCTAAGACAACAGTAAAAAAACTTGATAGTTCAAACAAGTCGAATAGAAGTAATGCAAAGAAAAATAAAAGCATACCCAGTGATGACAGTAAAAGTGACATTAAATTGTCTGATGTTCTAGATTCCGACAATGTTAGTCTATTTTTAGAAGTAGATGAAATTTCTGATAAAAGAAAACTTTAAAATTTTATGTTGCACAAGTTACAAAAGTTTTTTCTTCTGGTCCAGAATACAATCTTAATTTTCTAAGGCGTCACGAAATACAGTTTTTATTTCGTATTACTATTTTAAGTAATGATCACTGTACCTTACCTTTGTGGCCACTGTACCATCTAGTTTGGTACAGTGGCCAAATTTTTTGAAAAAACAAAATTAGTTACTCCTGCCTAACCTGTATGTTCATTAATCTATTATGATTTCTATCAAAGTTATCTTAAATTTACTCGAAAGGTGGCCATTGTACCAGCCTCTCACCTAACGTAATAATAAATTAAAAAAAAAAGTATTTAAAAATAATAATAACAACACACCAATAATGGTACATATATGCAGTTATAACAATTTCTTCACCACGAAAGAAATATGAACAAATCATTAAATAGCGTTAAATTTAAATATATGATAATCTCGCTAATAGTATTATACTTCAGTGCAATATCGACTCTCGTTAAAAACAGTTGTGCTGATCCATACTATACGCGTCTGCTATAGACGACCAACCGTAACGTTATATCGAACACTAGCGAAATCTTTAGATACTTAGCTGACAAACTGTAATGAACTAATTCGGAAATAATTATCGAAAAAGAAAAATAGTACTATAAAAAACGATACTAATTATTACTTTGTTATTAAGTTTTAAAAAGTTTGCCATTTTATGGTTCACGGCTTAACGAACACCTTTGGGACAGAGTGAAGCATTTTGTGTTTGGTTTTACAGTTTTAAAGTTTTAACGTGTTTTTTTTAATTAAATTTAAGTAAGTATATACATTTTTTTATAATACTTGAGATTTAGAACTATACTGCAGAATGTTTTTTGCAAAAACCGAGTTTTTTACCTAGTACATTTTTTAAGTTAAATTTGGGAGCATTCAAGCAGAAGAGTTTTTTGGATAAAAAATAGATTGCTGTTTTGATAGAAAATCTTGTACTATTATTTTTCTAAAAATGTTCTGCAACTGTTTAAGTATAGCATGTTTAAGCTAAATATTATGTCTATGCGGAATTAAGCTTTAATTAATTGTAATGAAAATATCATTTAGAACTACTGTTTGACTTCCACTTCCACTCCGGAAATCATTTTCAAAAAAGATTATTCCTCATATAAACCTAATATTTAAATTATTATTTTTCTAGTTTTACAGAGTGATAACTTTTGTGATAAAGTTCGGTATATCTGTTATTTTAGAAGATACCAAAAAAAGGTTATAACAAAAATAGGGGGCAGCTGTAAGATTTGCATTTCAAGATTAGTTACAAATATCGGTCTTCAATAACACTGTACCACATTTAAAGTATGTTTTTTTTGATAAAACAGGCTATATTTTATTTTAAATTTAACATCCCTCCTCTTCACTTCCTAATTACGAGACTATATAGTTGTTTTGTGTATAGAGTGGTCCTTAAGTAATTATACAAAAAAAACAGTAGATTCTACACTTTAAAATATTACGATTTAAGCTTGCTTTGATAAAATGTTGATATTAAGAAAGATACAGGGTGTTAAACTGCAAAATTAAAATTTAATTTTTTGCTATAACTTTCATGTTTGTAAACATTTATGTACAAAAATTTACAACTAGGTACTTTTAATTATGAGAAGTTATAATTTGTTCCACACTGTGATGTAGCTAATAGAGTGCGACATGTGTGGCATACATTTGCTCATAACTTTTTTACTGTTTAAGTTACTTTTATTTGTTACAAAAAATATTAAAGATACAATATTTTAACAAAAAAAGTATACGTGTTAACAACTTCAAAACTCAACAGTTTTCGAGATAATCGCATTTAACAAATCAGCTGCATAATTCTGATTTAAGGCAATTACTCCAGGCAACGAAGGAAAAATAGACAAAAACATTAATATTTCTGAATTTTGGTATAAACTACCTTTAACTAAGGTTAATAGTTAACGAAATATTAAATAAAACAAATATATCAGCAGGATAATTAATAATTGGATTTGACAAAATAACAGAATAATAGGATTTTCCATCAAACATTTTACGTTTTATGTTAAATTAAATTTAAATAAATTAAATAACATAACTTTTTGTCAATGTAAGTGTTCGATATGTCCATCATTTTCTTTAATTCATTTGTCAATATATTCCATAAAAGATCGTCTCATATTAAATAGCATCATTGGTTCTAAAGAAACTGCTGCAAATTATAACTTTGTGTTTCGAAAACGAGTTTTTAAAAATTATTTTATTTTGAAAATACAAATTTACAAATTATCTTAACAAACAAAAGTTTACATTCAAAAGTTAAAGCAAAAGTTAAGTAGCAAAAGTTAAGCAAAAGTTATCGTAATTGAAATGTCCCTCTATTTATAATATAGTATTGCGTAGTTTCTATTGTCCTACAATGTGCAGATTCTGTGGAATTCATTGGCGTAACTCCTCCCTCACTGAGTCCGAAAAATAGTGGAATTATTTTTGGAATGCTGGTTTGTGGAATCTTCTTCAATGCCGGAATCTTCTTGTAATTCTATTTCATGCTCGTTCCGTTGTTTTGATCTTCTTTGTTTAATAATATACAGAATGATCAAGATTAGAATGACTGCTATGAATGAGGTGGTCACCAATGGAGTCGTATGCAAAGGAATATTTGTTTCTCTAATTGGTACTAACTGTTTGGTCATATTATTAATTGCATAAACATTTTCAAAGTCCATTTTGGTAATATTATGGCTCTGGAATTTTTGTTCTTTTTTCTTGTTCATTCTTGTCATCTAATGTTTCAGAAATTTCTTCATTGCTTAACTCAGGAAGATAAAAGTCATTTGGATCAAACAATTGATCTCCAATTTCTTGATTTGAAACTGATAAGTTTTCTATTTCTTTTTGTATTACATCATCTATGTCATCAAGATTTACACATAAATATTCAGATTCGCAACTTTATTAAGGGTTCTAGTTTCCAGTCTTAATCTTCCTATTTCTTTCGATAAATCTTCTGAGTGTTGTACTTGAGCTTTATATTCACGTTTTAACATAATTTCTTGGTTTTTCAACATTTTCATTTCTTCTTTTACACTAGTCACTTCACTTGTGAGATCCGAAACCTGATGTGTTAGATTCTGTCTTTCATTCTTATATTTATCAATTTCGTCTTTTTGTCTGTTTACCTCTTTCTTTAAATTTGCACATTCTGTTTCTGATGCCTGCAATCTTAGATTCACATTATCCAACAATAATTGTTTTTCTCTTTCTAATCTAGCTTTTTGGTCCCTAAATTTAATCGGTAACGTTACATTGTTGTTATACAGTTGTTTATTAGTAAAATCTATAACTAAGTTCATTTTCATTGTATCTTCTAATCCTAAAATTTCATCGAAATATTCGTGAAAATCATATAAGATATAGTGAATATAAAAGTTACTTCTGAATTCTGGAAATGCTGGTATTTCGGCTTGATATTTAATAGTCTTAGTATAAAGAGCAGTTATAATATCTATATTTGACTGGTATATGCAATTAAGAAAAAATTTTTCTTCGATACTTGGTCGTAGCAAAGACCTGGCACTACCGGTATCAATCAGCAATTTTATGTTTGAATTTCCTACTTCAATGCATGGTATGGGATTATTCGAATTTATTTTTATATTGACTGTTTCCTTTCCGAGGCTTCTATCTGAAAATTTTGGTCACCTTGACGGTTTTGTGGTAAATCATACTCAGAATTTCTAAAATAGCTATTGACTTGTTCATGTTGTGGTTCTCTTGGATTATTATTTTCGTTTTGATAATTATTTGTGTATAGCTCCTCAGCTATAGTATCAGGACTTCGTCTAGGGAAATCATTTCTCCGATAATTATCGTATTTATTGGAATTTGATCTAGCGTTTGAATTTAATATGTTTCTAGATGCTATTGACATAGGTTGTGGCCTGGGTAACCGATCATTAGGAATTCGGTTGGGTCTGAATACATTTCTTTCTGGTCGAAAGTTTGTGGAACGATTCTGAGATGTAAAATGGTTCTGATAGTTGGGTAGCTAAAGAGTTTTGGTTTTGATAACCTTGATTTCGATATGTAAAGTTAGAATTGAAAGAGTTTTGATTTCGATATGTAAAATTTGGATTTGTTTGGTATTGATGTGTGGGATTAAAATTTTGGGGACGATAATTGTTGCTAGGCTAAGTTGGCCTGTTAGATAGATTAAAGGAATTGTATGACTTAAAATTATGATTATTTTTTGGAAAATTATTACTAGAATGTCAATATAAATTTTCAAAATTATGAAACTAGTCGACATATGCAATGGCATCTTCAAGAGAACTGGGTTTCTTAAGGTGCATATTATTGTTAAGAACACCTGTACATCGTGCAATAAAAGTGTTCAGGGCGATTTTATCACAATGGTTAATTTGGCATAATTTATCTGCATGCTCTATACTAGTATCATTACTTATTATTTGGGCTACATTGCTTCTTAATAGTTGTATTATTGTTCCAAAATTATAGAGTGTTTCGTTTTTAAATGGTTTTGTTCGTGTTAGTTCTTGCATTAAACAGTCTAAATCACGTCTATCTGCGAAGCATTGTTCTAATGCTCTTTTTATATTATTCCATATCGTTAGTTACATACGGTTTCCTACTAGCGCTTCTGCTTTTCCAACTAGTTTATCTTGTATGCACTCTAAAATGTGTTTATTTAAATCTGCATCATTATATACAGAATATGTTTGTATTAGTTCGTTGCATCTTAAGATAAATATGCTGAGAGTATTGAAATCTCCGTCGTAAGGTTTAATATTTTTTAATTTTGATTTGAGAAAATCCCAGTTAAGGGAATCCCAGTTAAGTTTGTGTTTGAGTTTAAGTTTCAGTAGCCATATTTTCAAATAAAATTATTTGTCAAAATATTTCACAAAATTGTATAGAATTATGTCTTATAAAAAAATATATACAATATAAATGTTTTTCAAAGATTTCAAATAAATTATTCAATAAAAAAATTTTCAATAGCATAAATATGTATTAAAAAAATGGATAAAAAGTATCAGTATTCTTATTAAAGAAAATTCAAAAATTAATCTATCTATCCTCACAAATATATGAAAGAAAAGGCGAAAAGGAAAGGCACTTACAGTTATCTGGAGCACCTGCTTCTCTTCTCCGAACTTTTGCTTCCTCTGTAACTCTGCTTCTTCTCTTTATATACCACTGTATCTTCTATGCACTTCTATCACTTGATGTGTAAAATGTTCTTTTCCGATCCGCACGTATCCTACTGACTGCGCTAACTTTGTCTTTCGAAAACGAGTTTTTAAAAATTATTTTATTTTGAAAATACAAATTTACAAATTATCTTAAACAAAAGTTTACAGGCAAAAATTACCAGACAAAAGTTAAGGAAAAGTTATCGTAATTAAATTGCCCCTTTTTTTATAATATAGTGTTGCGTAGTTTCTATTGTCCTACAATGTGCAGATTCTGGGGAATCCAGTGGCGTAACTTGCAGTATTTATTTCTTTTCATGGTCGGTTGCGAATGTTTATGTTGTGTTTTATAGACACGTTGTTTTAATGCGCCCCACTCACCAAAATCAAGCAGATTAAATTCTGGGCTACGTGGTGGTTATAACGTATAATGGATGAATGTATTCTTTTAGATGAATATCCAAATATTATGGTATATTATGAAACTACATACATATTGACCAACTACATACACTTATATAACTATATGTGGTGTTACCGCCGTATACTAAAAATAAGTTGGGTGGACAAAATTACAAATATAGAGGTAATACGCAGAATAAATAACGATCAAGAAGTTCTCCTGAATATAAAAAAGAGAAGAATACTTACGCCACCTGATAAGAGGAAAAAAGTACACATTCCTACAAAATATAATGCAAGGAAACATCCAAGAATGCAGTAATCCAGGCCGCAGAGGAATGTGCTGGATGAGAAATTTAAGAGACAGGTTTGGCTCTACCACTAACGAATTATTCAAATCAGCAGTAAATACAATTAGAATCGCCATTATGATATCCAATCTCCGATAGGAGAGGCACTCACAGAAGAAGAAGATGGAACTACATCTGATTTGTCGCAGAGGTTAAATAATGTATTAAGCAGTGATGTATCTCGTTCATTAGTTACTTATATAAACACGGAATAACCTATCAATGACAATATTTATTTATATGATTACGTTACAGCTTATAAGTAACTATAATTACGAATTAATCTCGAACAATTGGACTATTACGATTTACCAACAAACTAATAATATGCTGATCTAAATTATCTGTATGTTTACTGTATCGGTTTTAGGCCAACGATGATTTTTTTGTAAAAATGCTGAGTCTTTAAGGTAGATTTGTAGCCAAAGTATTATTAAACAAGACACATATGTATTATTCAATACCTGTGCTCTAGTTTCTATTTGTCCTAACAAAAATTGGTAAACAATTTACGTAATAAATAATAAGTATTATTCTGGAATTTTTTATGTATTAAGTAATTATATCAATATCTCAAAACATTTCCAAGGAATATGACTACCACGACCAATCCAACATTTAGAAAAGTTGTATTTAAGTATGTTTTTACCGCGTTCTCTCCAAAATGTTGTGGTGTACCATCTTGCATAAACCACATATTTTGAGTTTTTAGCATTTTACAATAGAGAAAAAGTAATACAACGCCAGTATAGAAACTTAAGAAGCGATAGAAAAGGGAAATTGCAAAAATGATGACGGCTAACGTCTGAATACTGCCACGGCACCTAAAGAAGAAGATGAAGAATCTTTTACCCAATAAGACATTTATCAGTCATAACAAACCGTTTTGTGATGTTACATCATAACCTTTGAGTTATTTTAATAAAAATAAAGTTAAATATGCTTATCTACGGGTATTCAGTTCTTTACCGCACAACTATCACAACTTAGAATTATTTTGTAGCTGAGGTATAAAATGCAATTTTCTCGAAAACGGTTAAATATTAAGTTAACTAACAAGTATACCTATTCTTTGTAAAAACAATGTATCTTTACTATTTTTTAACACAAATAGAGCTAACTTAAAGAGCAAAAAGTTAAGCGCAAATTTATGCCACACATGTGGCAAATGTGGCCCCCTCTATCAGTTTCATTAAAGTATGTCTAAAACTAAATACTCAAAATTAATTATTAATTAAATACTCATTAATTTAAAATACTCAAAAACATACCCTTGGTTATTTTTTTGTTCAAAATATTTACAAACGTAAAAGTTATAGCGAAAAATAAAATTTTAAATTTATATTTAAAAACCCTGTATCTTTTTTAGTATCAACATTTTATTAAAGCAAATTAGCTTAATTCGTAATATTTTAAAGTGCAAAATCCACGGTTTTTGTTTGTACAATTCCTAAGGACCAACCTGTATAGTGTATTTAAAAAGTACCAAATTTCAATGAAAATCGTACCAAGTTCAACACCCTGTATATTTACAAATGGCTATAACAACCTGTTATAGCCATAGTTTTAAAACAGTAGTTAAAAATTGTAAAAATGATTAATTTTCAGGTATATAAATCACATACAGGGTAAGTCAAAACTCAAGTGTATTATTTTCTTGTACTTGTACCAGCAAAGAAATAATGAAATGAACCGTACTGGTGATCTCTTAAGTTATCGTATAATTTAGCTGTCCCTATGAGTTTTACCAAGAAGCGTATCAGTAGCGTACAATTTATATTTTATTTAGCGTATAGCATATTAAGGACACACAACATTTTTCTATCCTCTTAGTTTTTCTTGCTGTTCTGTTAAAATATTTTCCTCTTTGTCTCTTTACTTCTTTTGTTTGAATTCGTTTTTGGTTTTGTTTAGTTTTGGTAAAATTTTCTCATCTTTATTGGCTTACTTAGATCTTGTAGTTCTTGAAGGTATGTGCTTATATTTTGTTTCTTGTACCTGCGCTAAATTTTTACATAGTCTTATCTGCCTTTCATATTTATTTATATTCTTCTGCTGCTTGTCGCATTCTATATCCCTATTGCATCAGTTAATATGCTCTGCTTTTTCTTTGTGGTATAATCTGACATTCTTACGGCAAAACAGTCCTTCGTTTTTGTTCTTATTTGTTAACCTTTCATGCCTAGTAATTCTTTACCTGCTTCTTTCATGATATTTTTACACCCTTCCCACTCTTCATTTATGTTTTATTGTTTTAGTCTATTGTCTAGTTTGATGTTTATATTTTTTTATATTCTCTATATTGGTCCTTCTACATTGTATCGTACACGTTTAAAACATATTTCCTTTTTTAAATGTTTAAAATTCTGGCCCTTACCCTACTTTCGACCCAGTAGTGAGATTTTGAGTTGGCCATAATTGATTTACAGAATTCGCATTCGCTTTTCTTTTGGTGTGAACATTTATTATATTCGATTGGCGCCTTTAGTATACAATAGCATGATCTATCATATTTGCTGTAAGTCTCTCTGGTGCTTTCCAGGTTCCTTTGTGTATCTTTTCAAACTAAGTTAAACTTATACAATCGATTCCAAGTCAGTTTTAAAATCAAAGCATCAAAAATTTTTTAAATTCGTTGTTTCTCAAGCACCAATTTTTTTTAGTTTGTTGGGCCATATTATTTTTCCTGTTTCATACCATACAAAGTAAACGTTTATAAAATAAAGGTATTTGCTTCGTTGTAGCAATCTGCTGATTCAGCTGTTTATTCATCTGTTTTGTCTTTATTTTGCTGTGTAAGCACATTTCAACATAATGTCAGAGCATTGAATCATTGCGTTAATTAATAGACTTCTTGGTTATTTGACACTCAAGAGAATTAAATTTTTCTTAGAGATAAACTTAAAATCTTGATTATTGCGTTTCGTTATGTTTACTGCCGTAAAAGTAAAACGTAGAATAGATTTTAAAGAGTAATGTATTTGTAAAATTATGGTTTATGTAATGCATGCCTCGATGTATAACTTCTTCCAAATAAACACGTTTTGACATGTTTTTAGACATTATTTACAATATACCCA